ATTAGAATCATTTTACACAAAAGGAAAATTAGGCTCAGAGAGGTTAAGGTACTAGCCCAAGGTCACACAGCTGGCCTCTGAAGAGAGTTATGAAATTTAGATTAATTAAACTTTTTAATAATTAAATTTAGATCATGTGCCTAGAAAGTGCTTTCTAGAAACCAGTTCTCAATAATATTTATTCTCTTCCCTTCTCCTGGTGTTAATTCAGATACAGTGGCCTTGAAAGTTAAATTTACTTAAGACTCCACAGTCTTTCTTTCATTCCTTTATAGATACCACAAAGAATAAACAATTCCCCTAACTGGGTAACATGATTCAAGAATCTTCTCAGACCTCAGAAGTGCAAGCTCCTTTTAAACCATTCTTTAATTAAAAATCATTATTGTTTATTAACAGTCTCTTCCGCCAACTTTGGTGCTACAGTTAATATAGTTCAGGCTGCTTGAGAGTAATAGAATTGCTATACTGATAATTTTAATGTAGAATTTTTTCCTTTCCAGTCTCAAGTACACAGATGGAAGTGGTGAAATCATGCTGTGAGGTAGGCTGATCAGGGGACAAACTATAAGGTATGGAAGTCGAATCTGGTGGCCCTACTGGATTCTCTTTGCCACAGGGCTAGCTCCTTGGTGTCCACCTCTAGACCTTCCTCTGGGTGACCAGTAGCCTTTCTCCTCTGTCCTCACCTTTAACACCTGCCCTGTATGCTGGCTATCATTAATTAGGTTGGTATGCTTAGAAATCAAACTGAGCATTTACCTCTCAAAGCTGAGTTTTGATAGCGGGATAAACGGCATCACACTGAACTCCCGAACTCCCAAAAGGTTGGTGGATGTTCAGTTTTGCGTGCTGAGGTTGGGATGGCCTCCCACATGCCACTGAAGTCATGCCTCGAAGGACAGCCACTTAGGATAATAAAGACTGATACTAGGCTGTGTTTCCTGACCTAGGGACTTGAACTGGATGAAGCTGCTGAGTGAGGAGCAATTTGGGAGCAGTCACACCCTCAAGCTGCTTTCAGGTCTCCCCTCTTCGGGGCTCAAGGAAATTAATTTTTTCCTTAAAATAAGGGAGGCTCACCAACCTGAAGCACGTGCAGGGGGACGGGGGAGGGACGGTCTTGCTTTGGGGCTCGGAGGAGGAGACGGGAGTAACCAGAAGCATTTCACACACGTGCTGGGGCACGGGGGATGGCCTTCAGTAAGTGTAGTTCCCAGACTGTCCACAAGATGGGGCAGAAACTCCACTCTGCTGCTCTTCGGGCACCTTTTGCAGCCTGGGCCAGACTCCAGGGAGATTGATAGACTGGTTAGGAAGGCACCGTGAAGCCTGCACTGTGGCAAAGATACATTTTGACGTTTTAAACATTCACATAGACTATTCGATTAAGAATGAATTAAGTTCCTAATAAATTAAATGAAATTACTGATTTCATTTAATTTGTACAAAAGCTCCTTATGGATTCTGGCCTATGTAAGGGATCGATGTCAGGGAGAAGAAAAAGGAGACATGAGCACCATGCTGTGTGTGGATGATGCAAAACAGCTCCGGTTCCTAGAGAATCTTGGTGTTGAAATGGGGCTTTGCTGGTTCATCGCCTTGGGTATTTGCTATGGACAGCTCTGACCTGGGTGCGGCGGGAACAGCAGTGGAAAAAATTCCCAGCCTTTTGAGACCTTGCATCCTATTGGGGGATTAGACAACAAATTAGGCAAGAAAAGTCAGTAGTGTGCCAGATGGTACTATGCATCATGGAAAAAATATTAAAACCAACAAGTGGAGGTAGAGAGCTACAATTTTTAAATTGTGCAGCCCTGAATGGCCTCTCTGAGAAGGTGACATTTTAATAAGACCTGAAGGGTTGATGGGGAAACCACGGAGATTTTAGGGGAAGATCATTCTAGGCAGAGAGCACAGCAAGGGCAAAGGTCCTGAGGTGAGAATGTGTCTGGCCGACTCAAGGAAGAGCAAGGAGGCCAGTGAGGGTGCAGAGTGGGAGTGGGAGTTGTGGGACAGGAGTTGCTGAGATACTCTCAGGGTAGGGGTGAGGAGTTTGAAGCAGATAGATCATGTAAAACCTTGTAAGATATTATAAGGACTTGGGTTTTTGCTTGGGATTGGTAGGAACACCAAGGATTCCAACAGAAAAGTGAGATGATATGGCTCACATTTGGGAAGGATTGCTCCGGCTCCCACATGGGGAAGGGGCTAGAGGGCAAAGCAGGGAGACCAGTTAGGAGACAACTGACATGTGCTAGGGGAGAGGTGACGGGAGCTTGGGCCAGGCTGACGACACTGGCAGTGGAGAGAAGAGATCAGATTTTGGTTATATTTTGAGCCAATAGGACTGGATGGCAGAGTGAATGAGTGAGAGAAACAGAGGGGTCAAGGTTGACTGCAAGGTTGTTTCCCTGAGCAACAGGGCATGTGGAGTTGCCATGAACTGAGACGAGCTGGAGGAGCAGCTGTTTGGGGAACTCAGCTGTGGATATGCTGAGTTTCAGATCCCTGGAGATGTCCAAGTGGAGATGTTTAAGTCTGTGAACCTGGCATTCAGGGCGAGGGGTCCAGTGGGTCTGTAGATATTTAAAGCATAGATGGGAGTGAGAATGAAGTCCAGGGACTGAGGCTGGGTACATCCCAACGTTTAGAAGTTGGGGCTTTGAGAGGTGACAGGAAGAGAACGGGGAGCTGGAGGCAACTACAAGATCGTAGTGTCCCAGAAGGCAAGCAGCAAAGAGCTCCGGGGGGGAGGGAGACGTTGGCTGTGCCAGCCACTGCTACGGGCCAGCACACAGATCACTCTCGCTGCATGGTTTCTCAGCTGCCGCGCTGCAGATGTTTGAGACTGGATGATCCTTTGTTGTGCAGCTGTTCTGTGCATTCCAGGGTGCTTAGTGGCAGCTCTCGCCACTACCCATAGATGCCAGTAGAACCTCCCTCCCAGGTGAGACCAGCAAAAATGTCTCTATACATTTCCACAAGTGCTCCGAGGAACCAAATCACCCCCTTCCCCGTTGAGAGCCACCACAAGGTCTAAAGAGCTAACCTAAAGGGGAAGGAAGATCTCTTGCAACCCAGAGGAGAGGAAGCTTCTGGAGAAGCTGATACATTTGAATTAGACTGTAAAGGTTGGGTAGAATAGTGACAGAGAGGACCTGGGGCACAGTGGGTGAAGGTTTCTCAGCCAGGAGAACACTCTGATACTTGACAAGGTCTCTGCAGAGACAACGTCCCCTTTAGGAGCCCTGGAAACTGTTCTGAGATGTCTACCATCTCTGGCCCTAGGCGCAGTCACAGTTTATCTGACATCTTCCATCCCCGCAAAAGAAGACTGGAGATTAGAGGATTTTTTTTCTCTGAAATATGACTCAGGGTGGTTTAGGCACGACAATCCATTATAGCATTAAAACTGGTGATTAAAAATGAAAACTTGCTCCTCTGCCCTCTCACCTCTCCCACCTCCCTACCCCTGGCATCTTTCCAAAATGATAAAAGAGAAACTTTCTTTCCCCTAGTTTCCAGATACAAGGTCAAATTGTTTTTCCCCCTCTGGAATACAATAGTAATTTATTGCATCACTGAAATCTGACTCCAGATCTCTCCTCTACTACAGCACGTGCACACGTTGAACTGAAATACAACACTCTCTCTTCTTAAAGCAGATACTCCATGGGCTTGTTAGGAGTTTTTCTGAGCACCTATTGGAGTGAGTATTTTTCTATGATTCTTTTTCTGAACACTTAGCCACTATGTTTAGAGGACAAACTCACTATGCATTTACAGGCCTCTCAATAGGAAGTCTTCCGTGTAGGAAGGGGTAAACTGGATTCCACTCTGAGAAGGGGGACTTTCAGACATGGTTCAGGGTAAAGGCCAATTTAAGTGAAAAGGGTTAGGACTATGGAAGGAGGGACTTTCTGCAGCAGAGAAGCAGGAAAACCCCTGGATAAGTAGAAGGGACTGGCTATCAGTGTCATGTTCTTCTTTGAACTTTCTGGACAAGCTTCCTGACGGAGAGATATAAGGAGGACCACTAATGAGATGGCAGTCAGGTGCAGACTCCGTGAAGCTGGACATGGAAATGGCCTATCCTAAAGGTTCCCACAGTCGGGCACCCATCACAATCATAGGAGTGTTTGAAACAGTGGGGCCACACCCTACAGTTCTAGGTCATTCCATATGGGATAGGCTCATGGCATCTATAGTATGTAAATGTTCTCCAGGGGATTCTGACTAGCCCTGGATTGCACATGGGCATGTGGGAATTTTTTGCCTAATTTCAATACAAAGGAAAAAGTTCGAGGTCCTAGACAAAGAAGAGGTTCTGTGACTTTGTGACCCTCACTTAGCCATTTTAAAAAGTCAACAAATTGGTATCTAAATGAAGATGATAAGGTCAGAGCAGATATATAACTGAAAAAAGTGATTTTTTTTCGACTTTTCATCTTCAGACTTCCATTGAACCTGTGGCCAACTTTTTCCTTCCTCTTCTTTATTCCTCCACCTTGTCTTGGCCACAACATTAGCATCCAGCACTATTGGTGCTTTGGTCTCTGATGCTGTCACATGACCCCGGGGCCTAGCTCAGAACCAGTCACCGAGACTGTTTTCCAAGGTGGTTTGTGTATATGGATGTGCATGTGTCATTCCGCTGATGTGATGTGACTGTCTCTCTTTTGAGGTTGATCAGCCTCAAAGAAATGCCCATCTATCATATTGTCTGCTCAGAGTATTCCTGCTAAGCAAGGTTGCATAACTCCATTCCGCAGTGGGAGGGAAGAGCCAAGATTTCCCAGGGAATGGCCACCACTGCCCCATCCCCTCTTTATTAAGAATTAGGCATATTTCTAAGTCCCACCCAGCTTTTGGGGTATTCCGGATGTTGCCATCCTTGGTGTCTGGCAACATCCCAGTGCCAATCAAAAACATCCTTTTCCACTAAAAATAGAAAGAACAAGACCGAAGGAAGACCATTCCTCAAAGATTTTGGTTTACTTTGGAGCCATAAACACACAGTGATGTGTGATATTTAAGGGCTGTCTTCTCTGCAGGGTCTTAAAGGCTTCCGGTGAGGTCCTAATTAGCCTTAATCAGTGAACTGTCTTCTTAGCTTGAGGCAGGAATCTGTGCATTTGCCCAGCTCTCTGGTGGTTTTCTTCCACTGGCGGGTGTCGTTTTTCCTCCGTCTGGTTGGGTAATGACTGCAAAGTGGCTGCTACTCTGTAAAGAAACATGGCTACATTATGAGACATTTTCAGAGCATAATAAAAATAATAATATGATTTCCGTTAGTATTTATCAAGAACTATTTATTGCACTAAGCCTTTTACATGCCTTATCTTATTTGATTCTCAAAACAACATGAAGTAGTACTCTCATTATTGCCATTTTACAGATGAGTAAGACTGAGGCTCAGAGGAGTTAGGAAGCTTGCTGAAGGCTGGTGGGGGCAGAGCTAGACACCAAACCAGATCTGCTTGACTCTGAATTCATGTTCTTAAAATGTCTTTGCTAAATTACCCTTTTAGAGATTTTGACATGATTTCTGGTGCACAATAAAGGCGTTAGGTCCAGGGGCAGGCTGGCCAGTACAGATTCCTGCACGTCTTTCGAGGAACACCCACCTGTGTGTGAAGACTACTGACCTCAGATGGCTGCTGTTGGGGTCGGGATGAAAGAAGAATGCAAGAGGGTAAAATTCTTTGTTCTTCTTGTTTTACTGTATTTTCCATATGCTTGTAGAAAGGATCTATCAAAGAATAAAATGACAATGTTGCTGCTCCCCAACTAATCACCCCAGGAAATCAAGTTGAAGATTAAGTCCAGCAGACGCCAACATTATTAGTCATCCCCATCGAGGGCTGCAGCCCGCGAGGTGACATCAAGCCCCTGACCTGTCACTGATTTCTTAATTAGCAGCTAAAGAAGGGAAGGAAAGCTGTGTGACCCTGTATTGTCCCAAGTGCCCATAGAGCTGCTCTCCCAGGGCAGGCTCTGCGTATTTTGAAAGCCTCCTACTGTTACCAGCAATTTCACGATCACCCAGGAAACTTGCAAACAGTTTTAAAAGATGTTACTTTTCTGTAAGTGTTATTTCCACTAATGAGACCCAAGGGCAAGGTGACCTGGTGCTTTTCCTTCAGAACTCGGTCTCCCTCATTCGCTCTCTGCTAGTTATGTTGTCACAGGGCTGTCTTTGCCTCGTCTCTTTCGCTGAACTGTCTTCTTGAATTTTAAATAATTAATTGTCACTTCTTTCAGAGAAGCGGCAATGCCTCAGATGCTCAAGATGGTGTGCTTAGGTATAACTGGGCGCCTGCAAGGTGGACTCCCTCCCCTTTCAGGGCCTCTCCACACCTGCTGCATCTGTGGTCAGTGAGGTCCAGTGGACTGCAGCCCTGGGGAGTGGGTGTAAACACTATGGGAAGAGCTGGTTTCGGTCCTCAGGGAGTTTACAATCAATTGTGAAGGAGAAGAAATTACACTAATAAACACAAAACAAGGAAAATATAATGGAGGTCTTCAGAAAGCTTTTCCCCAAAGCGTTATAGAAATCATGAGGAAGAAATTGTATTTTCATAGAAGCCATGTCCTATCAATGCTTGGCAGAAACCTGCTACTTTGCAAACTCTTCTGCAGCACAATGCTAAGGCGGTATTAACCCTAAACTCAACCTGATGCTGATTTTTCCCTACGAATGCTCACATGTTGAAAAACTGAAGTCAATTTCCTTAACCTCAGGAGTTAACCATACTGCTTAACCCTCATCAGCTCCTGTCTTGTCTGCCTTTGGCCTGGTGCCTGGAAGGCTGCCCACTGTCTGGGTCAGAGTGGCAACATCCTCTCCACGTGGAAACAGGCAACTGGGTGGCTATTCCTGTAGGGCCTAGAAGAGTGAGTCCTCAGCTTGCTCTGGATCCGGAGGGTGGTACTTGGATAGGACCCCCATTTACCTTGAATGGAGACTTGATGCTTCTCCAGCAAGTCCTTACATCACGCAGGTAACTTCTAAACCTCATAAAAAGACATGACTGTTCTGTGCAGTTTATATTCAAGGAACGAAGCTGGAGGGTCTTTCCCCCATCGCCCTGCCTACATCCTTCTTCATCTCAAGCCATCAAGAACTCCTCTCAGCTGCCTCCGTGTCCCCTCCCCTTCTATGCGTCTTGCTCTCCGTCTCCTTTGCTGGTTGCCCCGTCCTCACCCACCCAGCCTTAACTGCTGGGGTCATTGGGACTCGCTCCTAGACTCTCTGCTTCTGTCTCTGAGCTCCTGTCCCTTTCAGACATTTCCCTGGTTTAATTCCCCATTGCTCTCCCCCTCATTTGTAAAGACTGAGGTATAACTTATTTCCACTAAAGTGCACACACCTTCACTGTGCAGTGTGGTGAATTTTTGCCTCTGTGTACACCCATATAGCCACTACCTACATCGAGGTCAGAGCATGACCTTCTCATGCAGTACCCACCTCTATGCTGACCTCTATCACCAAAGACTAACTTTGCTTATTTTTGAACTTCATGTGAATGGACCCACAGTATATACTCTATTTTATTTAATTGCTTTCAACATTACATCTGTGAGATTATTCCATGTCGTGTGTATCAGTAGCTCATTCTTTTGAATGGAAGTGTAGTATTCTATTATAATAATATTTCAAAATTTATCCATTCTACTGTTGTTGGACATTTAGGGTGTTCCCCGTTTGGGCCTGTTCTGAACACAGCTGCCGTAACATTCTTCTGGTGGACATGAGTATTCATGGGTACATGCCCGGGGTAGGTCACAGGACATTTTATGGTTAGCTTTTGAGGTATCACACAGTTTTTTCAAAGGTACAAATTTACTCACCCACCAGGAGAATTCCAGTTGCCTCCTGTTTTCACCAACACTAAGTTCAAATTTTAGCCATCCTATTGGATACATAGTGACGGTTCACTATGTGCTCATAGGCATCTCTCAGATGACTGATGATGTTGGCAACTCTTTCATGTAATTGTTGGTCATTTTGATATTATTTGTAGCATGTGTGTTCATGCCTTTTACCTGCTTTTAATTGAGTTGTTTCTCTCTTTTTGAGCTGTAGCTTTTGTTTTTTTCCTAATATGCACTTTGAATAACAGTGCCCTGTTGCTTTTAAATAAAATATGAAGTCATCAAAATGTTCCTCAGGCACTGCCCAGGACTTCAGTCTGGTCTTGCACCATTTACCCCCTCTCTTGACTCTCTGTCCTCTGCCACCTTCCTTCTTGCCTCAAGGCCTTTGCATTTGCTGTTCTTTCTGATTCATCCTGTTGTTGGGAGACACTTCCTTCCTTTTCCTAAACAACCAGCCTTTCCTGCTCTTGTTACACAGCCAGCTGGTCCACCTCAAGGTCTCAGCTTAAATTTTACTTTCTCCCAGATTAAATGAAATCTTTCTGTTACATGTCCTCATCCCACTTGTACATAATCTTCATGTTATTTATTGCAAGTTTCAACAATCGTTTGTAAGATTCTTTGGTAGACTGGCCTCCCCATTTCTGAGGACTTCCAGAGGCTTAGGACTGAATTTATTCTGCTCCTCATGATATCTGCTCCACTAAAAAGAGGGCTTGGCATATAGAAATTGCTCAACAAATGTTTCTGAAGACAGACAAGTGTGAAAGCCTGAACAAAGCAGTCTTTGAATTCAGCTCTGTCTGGTTCCACGGTTTGAGTTCTTTGTCTCTATCACCAAGAAGCCTGCCTTGTGGCTGGAAACTGCACAGGTAGCAGAATCTCTAGAATTACATGTGGGTCAGAAGCCTGTTCGATGCCGACTGTGAGATCATGGGTCATATGTGCAGTGAGCAGATCTAGGGCATGGGAGAACCGCAGAAGTATGGGTACGGACGAGGCATTGTGGCTGGAGTGAGAATGGGAGGGCAGGTGGGAAGCAGTTTGATGTCAGAGAGAGAGACGAGGAAAAAAGTTATAGATATGGTAGGAAACTGCAGAAGTCACTTCAGCTGGTCCCCACTGATGGCAATGTCTCACGAGCATGAAGTCGATCTGCAGTAGATGGGAAGAGGGAAATTATGGAATGAGCAATCGCACTTAGAAATATAAATAACACCAAATTTGCTGACTATAATGGCTTGGGAATTCCAAGGTATTTTGAGGATTTTAAGACTATCTCAGGCTGTGATGAGTCTTTGGGGGTTAGAGTCCAGGACTATTTCCAGATGGATGGACCTTTGAGTCCAGTGCTACTTTAGAACTGGGGAGGTTGTTTTCCTGGGGGAGGGACAATGTCCACATCACAGCGTCCAATGGCCTGGTGCTTTGGTGTAACGTGGTTGAGCTGTTGATGTTTAGACTGGTATCTCGTGGTTTGAGCAGAGATGGGAACTTTAAATTCCTGTGAGAGGCCCATGGATCAGTCCGTGCAGCAGGCATTAGACTCATGAATACTGCACTTTGCAAACATATTTACTGCTACTTTTCTGATCTGCACAGATGCTCTTCTAATTAGTAAATGTACATGTCTTAGAAGTATTATTGAATCCATTGCTTTCTGTCATTTAGATGGTTCTGAAAATGAAGTGATAGGAAATGTACACCGCTGTTCATGTGGAAGGGTTTTGGAAATTTTTTGGTGTTAAGCTGTGGTCTTTTATACCTGAAAAGGTTGGAAATCATCTCATTTGTTGAACCTAGAGAATATTCAGGGCTCAAGATGGCTTGTTGCATGTTTAGCAGATGAGGAGGTGGTGGTCCTAGGAGAGTAAATCTAGAGTAAGGTCTGGCTGGTGGAAGCACTATGGGGCATGCCAGGTCGCATGACCCCCAGGAAAAGTCTGAGTTTTTTCTCTCATGTTCTGTGTGGAGAGTAGTTCCAGGAACCACTGAGTTAAGTGTTCAGGTCTTTGTAATTAGGCATTCTTCCATGGTCACTGAAATCCCTAATAAACTGATGAAGATTTTACACCTTATATTGAAAACATGAAGATTCCATTTTGTCATAGTGTGGAAGTTAGAATTTAGGAGCTAATGCTGTGTCTGAAATAGAATAGTGTGATTGATTTTTAGTGATTTGATTTGAGATATTTGGAGAGTTATTTGTGCACAAGCAGTGTAACCCATAACCTGGTGGACATGGGCATTCGTGGGTACATGCCCAGCAGCCTTGTTTCCAACAGTTAGTGCTTTACAAGGAGAAGCCCACCGGCCCTCACCGTGGGGCAGCCTGGCCCCACAGAGCCTCTTGCCAGCCACTGTGAATGTGGTGCTCCCTAGAAGCTGCTGCTGCTCCTCCCTGACCATGAAGTTAGTCCCCTTGAGACATTCTTCTCATAGGGGAGGATCTGGGACAGCTTCTGCCATGTTCAAAGGCTTCTGGGACAACCAACCTCAGCCTCACTCAGCCCTGGAGAGGGTGTCTACCCACCTGGAACAGTGAGTGCCCCTCCAACTCTCTCTTCTGTGCTAAGATCCTCCCTTTCCCTCCCAGGGTCCTTAAAGGTGTGGTGAGGTGGTCTGAGAACCCTCTCACCTCTCTTTAAAAAAAATATTAGCTATTGTTTTAAACAGCTTTATTGATGTTATGCAAAAATTGCACAGATAAAATGTATGCAAGTTGATCGGTTTGGGTGTATGTGCACAAAGGTATCAAACTCATTTCATAATCTAAAGATAGACACGGAACACTAGTAGTGTAAAAGTTGTATGTTAACCACCCTTAATCTTAGTGTAAAAGTTTAAAGACAATAGAATTGACAGTATCTGCAACTACAAAAAGTTGCTTAATGGATAGACAACATCAGAAGATATAAATTATGACATGAATTACCTTCTCCTGTTGTTATTCAAGTCTGCTAAGCCTGTATTCACAGAGTGAGGACTTGTCTTTTACTGAACAGATTATAAATAAAAGTTGCCTGAAAAAGGACTCAGAAAGGGGAACAAAAAACCAAAACAAACAGAGGACAACAAGACAAGATAATACAAGACAAATCTATGGTCATTTCTTGAATGTAGCATGTTTCTATTTCTGGTCCTATGGCTTAAACATTAATTTAAGGTCTTTCTAAAAGACTTAACATAAATCTCTTTGTTGTAAGATTAAAGAGAATTTCCCATATAAAATTAGATTAAATTACATTAAAAACTCGGATGAAAGAAAGCCGTGTAACCAGCTAGCTTTCTCCCCTTGGCTACATCATAGACATCTTTGTTGAGCAACCTCAGAAAATTCTTATCTTGTTCAGGTCCTGCACCTGCAGTGAGGTCCAGGGCACCAGGGAATGCAGAGGCCACCTGTTTGGCCAGTGGAGGGCACGTCAGCCTCTTGCACTGGCTTTAAGTGCTCTGATGAGCTGAGCTGGCGGAGCAGAGCACAGGCCCTCTGTGCCTTACACAAACAACTTGTGCTGGCAGCAGACCAACCCTGCTTCTCATCCCTTTCTACACTTGCTTTTTCTTCTAATCCTTGAAGGTAAGCTGGCCTGTTTGAACCCCTGATATCTGTGCTTTGAAGTCCAGGAGACAAAGGAATCTTGAAGCCATGACAAGATGGCCTTCAACGGACTCAGGCTGTATTTTGACTAAAATGAAGACTTCAAGATTTTGAAGCCTTGTTTATCTACTAGGGCTCCAATGTAAAAAATGTCACAGCCAGTAGACATCTTCTGATCTCCAGAAGTACATATTGTAAGTTCTGGGTCACTCACCTTCCCACGGCGTCCTCAGTGTTCCCAGAACCTTTGCTGCTCTTAGCAAGCCTTAAGGAAACCACTTCCTCTGGACGTCTGCCCCTTGTCTCCTGCTCATTACAGTCTTCCCAGCTGCCCTTTATAGTGCTCCCACTATTAGTCACTGTCCCCATTGCTCGCCTCTCCCTCTACCTGCTTTCTTCAGAACCTGACCTCGCCCAGTCTCCTCTAAGGGGGAAGAGCAGAGGTGGAGAAATACTCATCTCGGTCCCGCTCCTTGCAGGGCTCCCAGTAGCTCTGAGTGGCTCGTTCAGGGAGGATGTCAGCTTGGATTTTCCCTGCCTTCTCTCAGCAAAGCTTTTTAATAGCAGCCTTGCATCACAGCCTGGGAGCTCTTTCTGTGTGGCCAGGGGAAGGCTCCTCCCCACACAGAGATGACCTCTTGGAAGCTCGTGTATGCCTCGGACTCTCTGTGACCTTGGACTTTCCGTGTCTTTTTTGACTGGCCATCCTACAGCATAATCATCTGAATATGGATGTGTATAAAGGGTCTTCTCATCACCAGGCAGCCCACCTTTATCCCGCATGGAAGCAATGATATTGGTGTTAAGGAAATGAATGAGAGCTCTGGGATCTATGTGCCTGGAAGAAGTCATGGGTTACTAGCTGTGTGATCTTGAACAAGTTAATTAATGGCTCTGTGCCTCAGTGACCACCTCTGCAAACAGGGGGTATTAACAGAACCTACTTGTAGGTCATTATAAGGAATATACAAGATAGTACACGGGAAGAGCTCAAAATAGCTTGTGGCATATAATAAATAGCAAAAAATATTAGTAATCATAATAGAAGTAGAGGGAGACTTAATTACATTTATAAAAACTAGTCGAGTCTGCAAACTCCCAGCCCATCTGAGAGAGGCGTGCCATAATCACCATTCAGATCTTCTTGCTCTACCGAGTAAGAACATGTCAAGATGCATCACTCTGTCCTTCCCTCCAGCTGTGAGGTAGAAATGTGAACGTCTTTCTCTCGTTCCTTTCCTCCAGGTGCCAGTGGTAGGCTAGATAGCTACATCAGGACTTCTCAAACATTAATGCAGACAGGAATCACCTGAAAATCTTAGGAAAATACAGATTATGGTCAGCTAGGTTTGGGAAGGGTCCTGAGATGCCAAATTTCTCTCACAAGCTCCCATGTAGCTGCTTGCATTTTGAGTACTTCTTGCATTTTGAGTAGCAACGATCTCTAAGATGGTCTGACCTGGAGAGGGGAGCTTATTCTGGTTCAGTTTTGGGGGAAGAATGCCAGGAGATCAGTGGCTCTGCTTGGCATGGTGTGGATAAAGTGGAGGTTCCTGTGGCCAGGATTCTCACCTGGCCCTGGATGGCTAGCTCAATACACACGTGTGGGCAATGTGTCATTATTGATTCTATATAGAGAGCCCTGCCCGGTGCTCTGGGAGAGATGGGGGTACAGCTGCAGGAGAGCAGAGACGAGACTGGAGTGGTGGCAGCGTGGAGGGCAGAGACTGAGACGGCTGCGAGGGCAGAGGGGCCCAGGGGCAGAGACCGGTTTGCTGCATGCAGACTTGCTCTGAGTGGATGGGGTTCTAGTGATTGACCTGCCACTGTGAGAATAAAGCTGAGTTGTTCACCCCAAGAACACTCTACTGTCATTTCTTTGATCACACTGAATCCATAGTGAACTTGCCCGGGGCTGAAACCCATTGGCAACACAATTGGTGACAGTCAGCAGGGTTCATTGGTGACCAAGGCAACAGAACAGGCTGCCCTCATGGAAGGAGTGCTTCAGCAGCTGCACCTGTGGACGGGGAGACGTTCGAGTGTCCCCTGTGGACATGTGGTCCTGGGAAGTGGTGGAGGACTCCGGTCTGCCCCAAGGGAAAGAAAATTTGTTGCTGACTGAAATGGCATCACTACGAAGTGCTGTGGAAATAGTAAAAGCCCGAGAAGGAGCAGAGGCCCGAGAAGCAGCAGCACGCAGGCTGCCAGGTGCTGCAGGGCAGGTGGAGGGTGTAGCTCAGCCGTCAGCCCCAGAAGTGGAGGAGCGGAGGTTTGATGAACAGGTGGGGTGGAGGCCCTGCTGGTGCCGGAGGCATTGGCCCCTCCTCGGTAGAGACCCCCCTGGCTGGAAGCTGGTGGACAGCCAGAGGGACTCGGCACCGGTTCTTCCAGGAGAGGTGCAGCCCCCTCCTCAGGCTATGGAGCATCCATGCTCTGCTTCTGTCCTCAGGCTCAAGCACGAAAGGAAACAGGGTCTGCTTCTGGACGGAAGGATTTAAAGGGCCGGGTGAAGGTCGCGAGGACCCAGATGTGGGGTGGTTTGAAAAG